TTGCATTTTTGATGGCTTACCAGTGGAGTGGATAATTTTTTTTCCCACCAATATATAAATTCATTCTTCGTTTTAGCGATAATTTTTCCAACATCATTTTTTCCTCTCCATCTTTTAAATTGGCACACCACTACTTGTATATATAATTGCTTTTTAATAGAACTATTAACGGATAATTAATCAGATAACAGCTAGTGAATGCAGGCAGTTTGTAACCTGTAACATATTCATTAACCCCTTTGGTGTTCGCAATCTGGCATTGCATATAGATAAGAATATAAATGTTTTGTGCTTCATATAGCATAATTCAGTTAGTGAGTATTACCACTAAACAGTGAGTTGTAGAAAGTTAAACGCAGTGGAACGCACAAGGGAGAGGTAAGTAGCCAAACCTATGCATATAATAATAACGACAGCGATGATAATAATGACTGACTTGTAAAATTTGAGTAAAAAAAATTTTGTTTCATTTTTTGGCCTAAATTTTAAAATAATGTCCACTCACCACAATTCAATGATTTCAATAAATAAGCCCCCCACATCATATACTTTGTTTTAAAGGAACACTATAGTCACCTAAACAACTTTAGCTTAATGAAGCAGTTTTAGTGTATAGATAATGCCTCTCAGGTTTCACTGCTCAATTCACTGCCATTTAGGAGTTAAATCACTTTGTTTCTGTTTATGCAGCCCTTGTCACACCTCCCCTGGCTCTGATTGACACAGTCAGCATGAAACAAAAACTGGTTTCACTTTCAATCAGATGTAATTTACCTTAAACAATTGTATCTCTTGCTCTGTAAATTGAACTTTAATCAGATACAGGAGGCTCTTGCAGGGTCTAGCAAGCTATTAACATAGCAGGGGATAAGAAAATCTAAATGTAACAGAACTTGCAATGAAGAAAGGATAAACTTTGGATGACTCTTTACAGGAAGTGTTTAGGAAGGCTGTGAAAGTCACATGCAGGGAGGTGTGACTAGCATCCATAAATAGAGATGTTGCGAACTGTCCGCCGAACTGTTCGCGAACTGTCCGCTGGCGAACAATAGCGTGTTGGCGTTGGGCGAACATATCCGATTTCCGGATATCATTGAGTAAACTTTGACCCGGAACCTCACAGTCAGCAGACACTTCCTGGGAGGGAGGGTCTGCTGCTGATTGGGTGGAATGTGTCTGCTGGCTGTGAGGTTCCGGGTCAAAGTTTACTCAATGATGACGTATAGGGGGCGGACCGGAAATCGGATATGTTCGCCCAACGCGAACACGCTATTGTTCACCAGCGCGGACAGTTCGCGACATCTCTATCCATAAACAAAGTGATTTAACTCCTAAATTCAGATAATTGAGTAGTGAGGCTGCAGGGGCATGTTCTATACACTAAAACTGCTTCATTAAGCTAAAGTTGTTCAGGTTACTATAGTGTCCCTTTAAAGTAACTTTTTTTGTATGTACTTTTTTGTCTCATAAAATTCTTTGAAAACCTAAATAACGCTGTTCTTCATATATTTTATGTTTTTTTCCTGAAATAGTTGAAACATAAAATATTTCTGAAAATGAATAATAGTAGAGTTTACCAAGTTTCTCCTGTTTCTGCCTTTTGCGATAACCCGTCATATAAAAATGTGCAGAAGGCCATGTAAAGATTTGAATTTGCAGTATTTCAATGGCAATATGGGTAAATATAAATGACATTTAAGTATTCTGGCTTCAGTGCATACCGATTATTTCAGAACGATGCCTTAAGACAGCCATAACACTTGGCTTATCCTGGCATCGGATATTCTTCTTGGCAAAAATTAATGAGAACAGGTGGAAAATAAATAAAATGATGATTTATGGAAAAACAAGTCTGCAGAAAAATATAGCAATGTGTTTTGCTAAGTAATTTTATTCATCCAAATATGGCTGCTGTAGTTCTTATGATACTTTTTTTTCTTTTTAAAAAAGACATCAAAGAAGCACAGTTAAGAGACGGTTTCCCACTCACATGACATGAGACAAGTTATTCACTATCTCCAAACCATCCTAAATCTAGCAGGACAGTCCCAATTTGGGCCACTTGCTCTGTCAGTGGGAAAATATTTTAATGTGGGAATGGGAAACATTTTGGAGGTTCAATATTCTAAATTCTACCCGTGGCACCAAAAACTGAAAGGAAAAAAAAATAGGGGACGGCCACTAAATGTTGGTTTTATTCACAGGCTAAGTGATAAGCAGACAATAGAGGGAAAAAAGTAGGAGCTGTAAAAAATATATGTGTTTATATATATATAACTTTTTTAAAACTCCTTTTGCTTTTCCCTCTACTTTTTATGTTTTCTCATGGGATCTGTTAACTAAATGGTGGGAAATTGCTCTAATCGGTGTATTGTAAAATAGTATTTATTTCTTTCTTCGGCTCTGGATTCCGATTCGGCATTTGTTCAAGCCGAATCAACATCTGACCAGATTTCAGGTGTTACGAAAGATCGTCTGTCTGATGGTTGCCCGGAGTCCGGTGTTTCGGACAGCGCTCTCTCCTGGTTTTGGCTCCTTTAAATCAGCAGGCGGGGTGTTCGCTATCCTGTCACCTTTGAAATGGCTTATGGACTTTTAGATTTATTTTTTTCACAGTTAAACAAACTGTTTAAGTCGGTTCCCCAGCTTTCGCTTTGCAGGAAATGGCGACCGGCTGCCTCAGACCCCTTCACCTCAACTCAAAGCCTTCCAGCTGAAGTGGTAGAGGTTAACACAGTGAAGGAGTCTATGCATGAGTGGGATAGGGATAAGGCTATCCTAACTACAAGATAAGGCCAGGGACTAATTAAAAGTATTTCGAAAATTGGGCAGACTAGATGGGCCGAATGGTTCTTTTCTGCTGTCTCATTCTATGTTTCTATGTTAATCTAGTGGCTCCATTTTATTCATTACAATCGTACAACATATTGTTTTTTATGCTCCATAAGTGCAAACCTAACAACAAAGGGGGTAGGTTTGAGTCGTCGTAACTCTGGTGATCTTCTATTTTCACATTGCCATTTTTCCTTCACTGTTCAAATAATGCCAAGATTGTGGTAAAATAAAGCTGGAAATGCTGACACAATAAAACGATCCAAACAATTTGCACATTTACGATTTTGTTTTAGCATTTGCCATAATAAGATCATTTCATTTTGGAGATTCTAAAGCTCCAGTGGGCTATTCTGGCGCTAAGAATTTATATATAGATTTGAAAACAATAATCATGTTGCATTTGCACTAGTTTCCTACACTGCATTGGGCCTGTGTTTCTTTCTGAGGCTCGTTCCAATATAGAAAAAAATATGAGCAAATATAATGTGTGTCCTACATGTGTCCTTGGAACATTTTATGCAGATGCAATACCTGTGGGGCCCTGAGGCCTTTCACAAATGGTCATGTTACCAACTGTCTAGGTGAGGAAACAGTGAAATGAATCTGTCCTTGGTATAAGCACACTCCTATTATCATTTTATGGAAATGCAAGGCTGAAGCAAGAAAACTAAAGAAACAGCACTAGCCTCAGGCACCGAGGTCAGGTGAAGGTTAATCAACGGAAATGAGAGTGTAATAGTATTCACAGCTCTGGGTAAATTTTTAATCATTTTACACATAGTGAAAAAAACAATAATGAATGACCACCATAATGTTTTTTTTCCCGCAGAAAAATTTAGAAAGGATCATACGAATCTATGCATCAGATGCAAACCCCCCCCCCCCCCCCCAAAAAAAAAAAACAACAGAATTTATCTATGCAAACATTTTTATGGCACAAATTAATCTTTTTCTTTTTGAGTTTTCATTAGTGAGTTTCCTAATAAAAGAAAAATCAGTGAATCAGGAAGGATGTAAAAAAAGAGAAGCTCAGAATTGTAAATCAGATGAAATGGATGTTTTGAGCTGTTTTTTGTTTTGTTTAAAAAAACAAAACAAAAAAAACAAACAAACGCTATATATATACGTATATATATATAGTTTTTTTCTTTAACTTAAAGGAACAGTATAACATTAGGAATGTAAATGTGTATTCCTTATGCTATAGTGGACAGATGGCCGTTTAAATGACCTTTCTCCCTCTCAGTACTGGCCTCCGTGACTGGCCTGCTTGGGAAAGCATTGGGAGGCTAGTGCACATGCATGGATTCTATGAGAACATCTGATTGAATAGCAGAGTTCTACTCTGCTATTTCAGCCCAAGTTGCTCTAGTGGCTGCCTGAGTGACAGCCACTAGAGGCATTTAAACCATACAATGAAAATATTGCCGTTTCCTCAGAAGGACATGGACATGGCGCTTGGGTTCTCGAAGTGTGCCTTTAATGATGATCCATAGATGTCTGCAATCAGTGAAGGGGACAATGGAATAAAATTTAAAGAGTAATAATTCATCGTAGTCATTTTGTTGTTATTACTCTGGACACATTCACAGTTCCCTTATTGAACATCATAAGTGGACATGCCTAATTGTGGATTAATTATGGGGTGAAAGGGTCCTTAAACTACAACTTATACTTCAAAGTAACTCTTCAAGTGTTTGTTAAAGCACATAGACTTTATTGCCAATTTTCTTTGTTAAGGGATGTTTGACATTAAGGAACACTATGTTTTTTTTTTTTGTAATTTGTATTTTATTGAATTTCGTGCAAAGTGGCAGATATTCACATCAGGGTATCGGTTTTGCAATTAACAACAGTAAATAAGACGTATTGCGAATAACATAAAGTCAGACACATTACATATTAGCATAACTTGGCATATGTATAAACTCTAGGTATGTTCTCCATGTGTCAGCTTCTGTAGGTAGCGGATGTCGGGGTCCTCTGTCCCTCATGCTAAGTCTTAGGGGTGTTTGCCTTGCTGTGTGGCAATGGTGTGATCTAGTGGGTAGATGTGTGGGCACCTAACTGGGGTGGTGTTGTGGTTCTGGGAAGCTAGAGTGTCTCGCAGGGATGAACCATGGTAGTGGCTCAAATGTATGCTGTTTCGTGCAGCATAATAGTGTTTACATTTTGCGGATTCCCAGTTCGCGTATCTTGGGCAGGGACCATGGTTTGCCTTCCACAGTTGTTCTCTGCTTCTCCTCCCCGGTGCGACTGCTTGTGCTTGCTCTAGGTGGTGTTTCTTCCTTGTCTAGGCTCCGTAGTAGCATCTCAGGGTCATCGGCCGAGATGTCTCCATTTGTCACTAGCAGGTCTCTCAGTTTCTTGGCTACTGGAGCCAGTTTCCGTCTTTCCAGCAGTGCGGGAAAGAGGATGTCGTTGAAGAATGTTATGGAGGTTCCTTCAAATTCCATGCATCCTAGCGCTCTGGAGCGGGCAGTGCCTTTGGTTACCATTATAGTGTCTCTGGAGCTATCGCCACTTTCCTCGCTATGAACACCGGGAGTATCATATTGGTATCTGCTTCCCCTATGAGACCTATAGGCCTATAGACTTCCCCTATGAGGCCCTTAGCTGTTATCAGCCTGCGGGAGTAGGGTAGTAGCTGTTCCCCCTTCACCTCTTCGGGTACTTGCCGCAGGCATATGTTACTGCGCCTGTGTCGAGTTTCCAGGGATGCCACTGTGCGGTTCAATCTCTGGACCTGCAGTGTGAGAGTGCTTGCAGCAGGGTTTCCCTTGCTGTATCTCTCACTTCCACTTATTGGAGCTTTTTCCGCATTGCCCCATGTCTTGTTGGATTTCTCGGAGGTCTGACTTTGCTTTATGTCCCCTTTAGTTCCGGGGGACGAGTCATCCTCAGAGTCATCTGGCCCTTCCGAGTCGCCTTGTATCGAGGAGGTAAGTTTCTCTCCCTCTTCCTACAGGGATTCCTCTGAGATCGCTTCCTCGCGGTTCTCCGCGGGCGCCATTTTGAAGGGCGCCGGCGGTGTAGGCCGCTCGAATGACAGCCTTATATCTCTTTGTGTTTGGGGGTTTCTGGCCCCTGAGGTTTGCGGTGCTTGCGCCCCATGTTGTCTCTGGGGGGGTGAGGTTGTAGGTGGTCCCCTTCATTGGTTTCTATTTGTATTTTTGGGGTAAATTATCTGGGCCAAGCGGAGCTCCACAAAAACACGTCTGTTCAGTCTCATCGGAACACTATGTTTTAAAATTAGGCGCTTGGTGAAATCATGGGACATTGCACAGGGTTGGTTATTAGAAAGACATGGACTCAAGTATCTTCTGTAATGCCCCCATTATTGGTCAGTGCATTAAAGAGACTTACTATGAGCCATTTAGTAATGAGGTTGGAACTTAATATTTGTGGAGATCTGGTGCAGTAAAGAGACCTATCAAGAGCTTGTTGTTAAAATTAACAGTTTAGAGCAGGGGTGCCCAAAAGGTAGATCCCCTGATGTTTCAAGACTTCAGCTTCCATGATGCTTTGTCATTCATTGCAAAGCATCTTGGGAGTTGCAGTTCTACAACATCTGGGGATCTACCTTTTGGTCACCTCTGGCCTATAGAGTGTTGTCGAGTCAAAGAAAGAGTTGTGGGTCGGGCAAGTTGGGAAGAGCAATGATAAAGAAAGAAAGGATTAACAAGACAATAATATTTTATTTGTGTTGTTGTAAGAAATACCTGTGAAATCCTTAGACAGGCCGACAAACTGAGCTGAACTCATCTGTTAAACCTGTTTAGAAGCTGAACATTCTATAAGTTTGTGTGCAGTTTAGCTTGTAAGCCTTAGGATGGAGCGAGAAGACTATGGATTGAGCACAAAAGACAAAACATTACAATTAAACCCTAAATTGTTTCACATTCACCCATCTATCTCAAACACTTGGTTCGAAGCAAATGCAGAAGCTTCACATGTAACTCTTTCTTATTATTTTGTATTGGCACTATCTATACAATAAATCACAGAAATGGATAGGTCAATTTCCGCAACTGGGCGTGTTAAATTGACTAAAATTAATCAATAAAGAAATTGTTGCATTAAAAAAGTTCAATTTATACAAAATGGCGTGCATTGATCAGATACAAATGTTTCACTATTTAATTGAAGTGATGGATTTTAATTGCATTCGAAGTGTTTTTAAGAGTAATGGTAACATCTTAAACTAGAATGTGTCATTCAACGCCTCTCTAGTGTTTTGTTTATCTGGCTGCAATCAGTGAGACGGAGATTATATAGTGTTGGTAATCGTGTTATAGTGGTCTTTCCAGAAGCACTAGGTAAAGTGGAAGAATGAAGCATGTCAGATACCAGATGGCCACTTGATTTCTTGACCGTCGCTCACTGCTTGAATTGGAAGAGTTCCAAAATGGAATAGTTAAAATAAGATGAAGGAGGGAAATTAAGCAAGCCTGTAGATGTTTGGCAACATTATTTTTACTGCATGTGCGGTGTATTTTGTTTTCCTTTGTATTTGTTGAATGAAAAGGTTGAAAGCTGGGGTCGTATTAAATCTCACAGTGTTACTGAGTGATGAGGTGACCACAGATGATGTCTCTGGAGATAAGGTAATGAAAAGAAATCCAGAATAAAATACTGAAAAAACACACTCTTATCTAAAGCAGACCCGTCATTTTTACATTTCAGCTGACCGGTTTTAATCATGCTAAAATAGTTAGATTTAAAAAAAAGTTTGATAAAGATTTGAAAAGTTGTAATTAATATAAAATAGAGGCTTTTGCTACGTTATGTCAAGTGTGAAGGAAAAATTTCACAATGCTGTTTAACTGTAGATGGTTGTTAAGAATGGAAGATTGTAGTCAGGGCCGCCATCAGAAATTTTGGAGCACCTGACACAGCTCAAGGTCTGGGCCCCAGGGTGCCCGCGTCCAAGCCCCACCTCCAAATCCCGCCCACAGGAATACATACACAAAAGGACACAGACACAAAAGGACACACACACACACACACACACACAAAAAGATACATGAATACTGAAACAGACATACACACCTACAGGAATACTGACACACACATACTGAAACAGACACACACACATATACAAACACATACAGACACACACACACATGCATAAGGACATACTGATACACGCATACATACATACAGACACACACACTGACGTACGTACATACATACTCGCATACTGAAACAAACACATACATACATACTGACAAACAGACATACATACAAACTGACATACAGACATACAAACAGACATACATACATAATGGCATACATACACACACATACTGATATACATACACACACATACAGATAGATATATACATACACACATGCATACTGATACATACACACATACTGACATATATACACAAACAGACATACATGCAGACATATACATACGTTCTGATATACATACACACATACAGACATACACCTCATTTTTCAGCCTCATTTTCCTCTTCCTTACCTTTAAGTTGCAGTAGGGTGGCTGGGGATGATGGGAGCAGATGCCTCTCCTCTTCTCTGCTCTGCTCTCCTTGGCTGTCTCCCCCCCGCGTAGAGTAAGCTGGGAGGAAGTGACCGGCCGTCACTTCCTCCCAGCAGCACTTGCGGTGCAGCCGTATTTTTTTTATAGGGGCCCTGTCGCGCTACACGGCTGCAGCGCTGACCGGGCCCCTGAAGATATAGGGCTCATCGGGTGGCCCTAAATGCTTGGGCCACCTGATGGGCCCCGGTGCAGGTGCACCTGCGGCTGTTACGTCGCTCCAGGGTCGCCGGGCCCATGACAACCATCATGGTTGTCACCCCCTGATGGCGGCCCATGATTGTAGTTATGAAGAATCCATTTGTGAAATTTTTTTAGAGATTATTCAAATGTACATTAGAAAAGTATATGTTGGTGTTAGTGTTTAGTTCTAACATTATACAATTTAACAGAGGGCCAAAACGAACACTTGTTCAGTAACCCAACAGTACAATGATGCCCAAAGAGACTCATGGAAAAGTGGATTTAATATACAATAGAGCAGGCATAAGCAATCTTCCGCACTCCAGATGTTTTGGACTACACCTCCCATGATGCTTTGTCAGCATTATGGGTGTAAGAACATTATGGGGGATGTAGTCCACAACATCTGGAGTGCCAACGGTTGCCTATCCCTGCAATAGAGCAAAGCATATGTTGGAGGAAAAACAGTATGAAACATTGTCTGTCACTGTCTAGAGAAGCACTATCAATTTCAAAATATGCCACTGAAAACTGATTTAACATTTAGTAAAGAAGGGTTGCTGGATTACACATCATTAGTACTAAAGAGTAAATATGCTATGTGCATGAAAAGTGTCTTCGTGAGTTACTGAAGTCAATGAAAAGTAACTTAAAGTAACACTCCACTTTCCAAATACGAAAAATAAATAAATAGTAGATATACCCCAATGAAAACATGCATGCATTTAATTATCCATTTTTTTCAGTGGGGGTTATATCTCAAAACAGTTTACAAAAGTTGCAGATCTCTTGTGTGAGCTTCATTGAACTAAAAAAAAAAAAAACCCAGGAAGTAACAGGACCAGTTGTGACCAGTTTTTGTAAAATGAATCATCTTCTTATTCCGAGGAAGTCTGAGTGATCGGATGAAACATGCCGGCTTGGTGTAGCTGGGACTCTTTAGTGGAGATGTTTGATGTTATCCTGCATTCAGTGATTCCCTGCAGGGAAGGGCACCTTAAACAATATATGGCAGGAGAACGGGACAAGGAGAACTCACAGGAGTGATGAACATTATATTCGACAGATAACCTACATGCCCAGTCCGCAGGTGTTTTCATAGGAGTCTGTAAACGTGAGCGTATTGTACATGCAATGAGTTCTGTGTGTAGAATGCAACAGACAGTATTGTCCTATATACTCTTTGATTTTCAGGAAAGATTTTGTGGAAAATAGAATACATGTCTTTTATGCAAGTAAGTGTTACAATGTTTTTGTGGGTTGGTGCCAACTTTTATCGTATAAAAAAAAGAGGAAACACTCTTCACAAGTAAAGCACTTCAGCAAGCTGAAGTTTTCTTTTCTGGTAATCTTGCAAGATCACAAGGCCAAGTAAATTCACTTTGTCCCTCCTTCTCAGTTCCCGTCATGTGTGGGATCTATCGAGGCCTGCACTGCTTTCTGCGTGGCTGTCTGATAATCCATTTCCAGATCTGCTCCATAACACCTTGCAGCTATAAAAGTCACAGCATATTTGTGAGGATAATTCCGATAACTGGTGATATACATCCCAGCGGCCGTAGCTTATATAATTCATTGTTTTAATGGGACTTTCAACGTGATCCCCTGATCTTCACAACAGACCCTCAGCCCGTGATTTTTGCAGCCCACCTGGCATCAGCCCAGTTTGCCCATGAACCAGTCCATTCCAGCTGCCACACATTC